CGGGCCTGGACAGGGGGTGGCCGGGCCTGGGCACGGGGTGGCTGGGCCTGGGGAGGATGGTCGGGCCTGGACAGGGGGCGGCCGGGCCTGGGCAGGGGAGTCAGGCCTGGGCAGGGGGCGGCCAGCGCACCTCCGTGTTCTCCATCATTCCCATGGTCCGCCGCGCTGGTCAGCCGCTCGTACCACCGACGACGGGCACCCGCCACAGCCAGCCGCAGGGGCGTCGGACTGGAGAGGCCGGTGCTGTGCCGGGGCGTCCGGGCCAGGGAGGGCCAGAGCCACCGGCGTCTCCCGGTCACGCGGGCCCGGCCTCTGGGAAGGGCTTCAGGGTCATCGTGCCCAGTAATGCCTCCGACAAAAAACCCAGAGCCCCAAAGCTGTGATTATAAAAAGGGGGTGTTCACGGGCCAGGCCTGGGGTCCCCAGGAGGCGTCAAGCAAAGTGTGGGCCTTGAGGGGCGCCTCTCTGCGAGCTCAGGGAGGGGGTCACCAGCTCCAGGGAGAGCGTCGGGGGGGCCCAGGGTTGGGGGGCTGGCCGAGGCCTCAGGGCCCGAGCATGGGGGAGTCCTGCCGGCAGCCCCCCGGCCTGAGAGCCCCACACTCACCCAGGGGCTCCCCCCACCCCTCTGCAGAAAGGCAGCGACATCCCCGCTTCTCCAACCTCTTGTTTCTCTAATTTTATGATTGTATGAAAATAAGGCTCCCAGATTGCCTTTAATTAGCCTTAATAAGGCAGCCTTTTTGCTAATTAAAATGATTATTAAGAAGCCATTTATTGTCAGAGCCTGGGCGACTTCGGAGCTCTCACAACTAATAACAGCTGCGGCAGCCAGCCAGCCCCTCGGGGCGGGGTCACCCGCAGACCTGCTCTCCGAGGGGTGACCGCGGGGTGGGGTCCCCGACGCCCGGCCCCCCCGGGCCCCGGGTCTGACTGCCATCTGGCCCCGCATCCAGGAGCCGCCGGGGCGCAGGGGCCAGCCCTGGGCCGGCCAGTCCAGGCGGGGTCAGCCCGGACGGTGAGCGAGTCAGGGCCGGGGGCTCGGCGCGGCTCACCCGGGCACGGCTCCCGGTGCCCACGCCCGGCCTGCAGAGACGGGGCATCTCCACCGCCCCCTCTGCACGGGCGGGGAGCAGGGCTGCAGGCTGGGGGGGCCCTTGCTCCCCCTTGGCGGGTTGGGGCTGGGGCGTGCCGCTGGGGTGCCGTGGTGCAGGGTCGGGGCCCGGGCCTTCGCGGAGACGTGGCCCGGCCAGGTCTGCCTTCTCGCACACAGCGGGTCCAGCGTGCCCTGACCCCTGTCCACCCGCCCCTGCGAGGGCCCTTGCAGGAAGCCGGCCAGCTGGGGCCTGGGCCGGCCTTGAGAAGCCTTAAACGTTTTTCTAAAGGGGCGGAAAGAATGGAGGCGGCTGGAGCGGCCTGGCGGGCCCGCTCCCAACACCACGGCCAGTCTGCTGCTGGCCTTTTCTCTGGGGACACGTAAGGCCCAGCGGGGGCACAGGCTGGGCCCCGGAACGCGCCCTCGACCTCAGGCCAGGCAGCTTCAGGCTGCGGGCTGCCCTGTCCCCCGGGCTGGCCGGCCCAGGGCGCCCGTGGCTCCTGCTGTCGGGCTCCGCTTCTCACGCACGTAAGAAACGGGGGCCCGGTGGGCACGAGGCAGGCCCCGGCCCCTCCCGCGGGCCCACGCACGGGCCAGCACCCCACCCAGCGCGGCACCCCGGGTCCGGAGCTCCTGCGCACCCCGCCTCCTGCGCCAGCAGCCGGGTCTGGAGCGTGAGCTCCCTGCCCCTGCAGCCCAGGCCGCTGCTCGGCTCTTTCTCATGCTAATCCCGGTGCCAGCTGCCTGCAGAGCGGGCAGCCCTCCACCCCTTGGGCAAGCACCCGGCCCCGCCCCGCAGGGCAGCCAGGGCCTCCCACACTGCCCCAGGCCCCCCAGCCTCGCCCCGGGGCCTGCAGGCACCCCGATTCCCTCAGTCGCCGCCGCTGGGCCGCGAGAAAACCCCAGGGCCCGGAGGGGCGCGGAGGAGGGGGGCGGCCGCCCCAGCCCGGCACAAGCGGGAGAGGGAGGCAGGCCGGCTGCAGGCAGGCGCCGCCTCAGGGACCCCCAAATTAGAACCGTGCAGGGGGACTTGGCCAGCACCACTCGGCACTAATCGGGGTACATGGCCGTAAGCTGGGGCCAGACCAGAGCTGTGGCGCTTGAGGCAGCCGCCAGGGCTGTCTAGGAAAGGGGAGTGCAGGGCCAGGGGGGCCCCGGGGCGCCCGGGGGAGGGCCTCGGGAGCAGCGCCGCCCCCACCCCACGGCCCCCCGGGGGGACGGAGCCTGGAGGAATGCACCTCGGACAACCGGCTCGGACCGGAAAGCCCAGACGAAGATTCTGGGGGCGCTGGGCGCGGGGGGACCGGCACCCCTCCCTGGTGTGCGCACTGCGGGCCGTGGCCCCTGAAACGTGGCCTTCGGGCCCAGCCTCATCCTCAGCCCAGGAACTGCCGGCCGGGCGGGGCACCCCGAGGGGCGTGGGCTGGTGTGGGGGAGATGGGGGCGGCCAGCCTGGGGCTCCCGCTCCCACCCTGGTCTGCCGGCGGCCGTGGCCTGGTGGTCGGTTTGTGGCTAGGGCGTGGCGCCAGCCAGACCACAAGGCCGCGGGGTGAAGGCCGTGCGGGGGCGGGCAGGATGGGCTCGGGGCGCAACAGCCACTGCGGGGAGACCTGCCTTCACCCTAGCGGGGGTCACTGCGGCTCCGCCCTGCCCCCCTCCGGCCAGGCGCTCGGGCCCCCGAGTCTCTGGCCGACGCAGCTGAGGCGGCTGTAGACGCAGTGTCAGGCCGGCGACTGGACGAGCCCAGGCGGCTCTTGCGTCCTGGCCCTGGACAGGGGACACCGACAGGGGACACAGACGGGGGACACAGACGGGGGACACAGACAGGGGACACAGATGGACACAGACGGGGGCACAGATGGGGGACACAGATGGACACAGACG